GGGGTCCAGACTGTTTCAGGGGTCAGGCCCTGTCCCTGCATCTCGAGGCTCACTAGGCACTATATGCCCTGAGTAGGAAGAGACGGTCAACTCTATTGTAGTCCCATTGCCTGATATGATCCTTTTGTAGAGGAGGAGCCGTATCTCTGAGCATTGCTGCAGCCCCTGCATCGACTAAGATATCCACGGTTCTGCCTAGGGGTGCCGCCAATGGGGGCAGGACTGGCTGAGTTGGTAGCACCATGGGGGAGCATTGTGGGAGAGCAGGGGCTGTGGACCCACATATCTGTATGGAGCTTTTCTCATTATCATGCCCTTTGCTGCCAGGGCTGTATCAGAGGGGTTAGCTGCATCTGTGATGCCTGAGGTTGCCACTTAGAGGTGGGGGCTGGGATGGGGTCTTTGGCTGCAAATCATGACTTTCCAGGTCTCATTCCCATTCTGTCCCTGGCCAGTTTCTAAAATTGGCTTTCTGCAGAGTGTAGAAGAGGTGAGGGCAGGATGCAGCTGCTTTTCTCTTTCTCCTTCCATTCTTCTGGCTGTTGCATGAGGGGTCCTGGATGCAGACCTGACAAAAGAACCCCAGAGAACTGATCAATCTGAGCTGAAACTTGACAGTTTCAAACTGGAATTGCTCCCTGTTCTGGCTTTTCTTTTTTCTTTTCGGTGTCTCCTTGCCCCCCCCCCATGCTGAGTCCCTCCTGTTTCCCTTGGGAATTAGGCAGTGAGAAGGTAGCACTGTGCTCTGCTCCATTGACTGCACACTGGCTGGGTGTGGCCTGGGGGTGAAGTGCATTTTCCCTATCCTTGTGGGCCTTGCCCTACATCCCTAAGGCTGCAATGGTATTTGGACATGGTGCTTCCTACATATAAGACTTCTGGGACTCTCAAAAGTAGGTAAGACCCCTCTACCCCTACCTCTCTCAGACTGACTTCTGGATCTTCAGGGAGAGCCACGCAGGGCTGACCGAGCATCTATCTGCCTGTATCTGAGCAAAGCTTGAATTACGTCTGTCCCTATGAGACTCTTGGCTTTGTGTTGCAGCAGAAAGGCCAGACTGCAGACTCCTGAATAGGCAGTCAAGGCCCTCCTGGGGAGAAAGCACTTGAGAGACCATGACCTAGAGATGTGGTGGCACTGAAACCAGCCTCAGGCCTTAATTCTCCAGAGCTTCGCTCTAGGACTCCTGTTAGTAGCACCACTCACAGAGAAGCATGCGATTATTCTCTCCTTGCCTTTCTCCTTCCCCAGCTCAGGCAAGGGGTATTTGGGTCTAGGCTCCCCTGTGATGTTCTCCTGTGCCATCATCTGCTCTCAGCCTTGGGGTGTAACGTTTGGGTCCCAGTTTTGGTATGGCCTCACACCCTATCCTTTTAAGCATCTGGCTCTGCTGCCCCCTTGGGTGTGGCCCAGTTAAGATAAGATTTCTTGGCTTCTTTCCAGTACAGGGATGGAGGATGATTGATGGCTTCCAAGCTTGCCTGTGGCTGTTATTCATTTGCCCTATTAGAGGCTCTTCCCCTCTCCCAGCCTCAGTTACCATCTGGGGTTCTGTCATGTTGGATGAGTTTTCCTGCCCCTCTGTGGCATGGAACCTGGCCAGCCAGGGTCTCTGGGCCGAGTAGGTCAGGGGGAGGGAGAAGATCTTGGGCCTGGGGTCTCTGACTCCCACTTGTTGTCTCTCCTCAGGCCTGTCCCTGGTACACCTGCTGATTATGCCCAACGTCTGACTTCTCCCATTGCTGTTCCTCACTATAGGAGTTTGCATGGGTAGCAGCAGGCCCTTTCGTACCTTTGTGGTGACAGATACCACACTGACTCACCTGATTGTCCACTGAGTGACTGGGGAGGTATTTGTAGGTGCAGTGAACCGAGTTTTCAAGCTGGCTCCAAACCTGACTGAGCTATGGGCACATGTTATAGGGCCCGTTGAGGACAATTCTCATTGCTACTCATCCCCTAGCATGCATGTGTGCTCTCATCGTCTGGTGCCTGTGGACAATGTGAACAAGCTGCTCCTCATAGACTATGCAGCCTGTCGTCTGGTAGCTTGGGGCAGTATCAGGCAGGGCATCTGCCTATTCCTGCATTTTGATGATCTCTTCAATTTGGGTGAGCCCCACCATCGCAAGGAGCATTACCTGTCAGGGGCCCAAGAGCCTGACTCCATGGCAGGTGACATTGTTGAACAGGGCCAGGGGCCTAGCAAGCTGTTTGTGGGCAGTGCAGTTGATGACAAGTCTGAATACTTTCCCACCTTGAGTTCCCGTGAGCTCATCGACGATGAAGACAGTGCAGATATGTTCAGTCTGGTGGGTGAGATATTATGCCTGTTCGTTCTGTCCTCTTTCTTCTCCTTCTTAGGAGTCCAGGCCTAATTCACTCCTTTCTCTCAGTCTTGACCCTACTTCTTTGGAAGGAAAGCTTTGATTTGAGAGGGAATTTGTGACCCTTCACTGACACAGAGATGCGGATCACCTGCTGAGGACAGGAAATTGGGCAGGATTCACCTGTGGAAAGCCTTTATCTGGAGAGGCTGAGGTCACCTTTCACTCTGTGGCATGGATTACAGTAATTGCCCAGGCAGGGAAGGTGGGATATCTAAGGGGAAGCCTTTGGAAGGCCACATTGTTAGATCAGGGTTGGGGAGTCAAGGGGGCAAAGGGAACAGGTCTTTATCCTGTACTCATACTTTGCTGTCCTCTCCAGGTGTACCAGGATGAGTTTGTCTCCTCTCAGATCAAGATTCCTTCAGACACACTTTCCCTATACCCTGCCTTTGACATCTACTACATATATGGCTTTGTCAGTCCCTCCTTCGTGTACTTCTTAATACTGCAGCTGGACACCCGGAAGACGCTGCTGGATACAGCATATGAGAAATTCTTCACATCCAAGATTGTGCGCATGTGTTCAGGAGACTGACAGTTCTACTCTTACGTAGAGTTTCCCATTGGCTGCTCCTGGCGTGGTGTGGAGTGCCACTTGGTGCAGACTGCCTACCTGGCCAAGCCTGGCCCAGGCTTTGGGAGTGCCAGTCGATGTGGATATCCTCTTCACTATCTTCTCTCAGGGCCAGAAGAACCGAGCCAGCCCACCTCGGCAGACCATCCTTTGCCTCTTCACACTCAGCAACATCAATGCCCACATCCGGCAGTGAATCCAATCATGCTATCGTGGGGAGGGCACACTGGCGCTGCCATGGCTGCTGAACAAGGAGCTGCCATGCATCAACACCATGAGCCTTTGATTGCCCTGCTGTCCCTGTGCTACACATGACAACTCTGTCTTTCTGCTTCTCTGCTGGGTGACTGTCTGTCCAATCCCAGGCTTGACATGGTACTGAGAGTGACTGACACATTTGTTCTGACACCTGCTTTACCTTTCTTGAGAGCCTAACTCTGTACCTATGTCTTGGCCAGTGTCCTGTTCATATATTGTAACCTTCATTTTTCTGACTCTATTAATTCCCAGCTTGCTCTCTGCTCTATATCAAGTCTTGTAAACCAAGGTTTCTCCTCTCTCTCCCTGCTTCCTGTCACCAGTCCCATTTTCTCATGGGGTCCTAGGGCAAACTGTCAGGGATGTCTGGAGGGTAGTAGCTTCCAGGTTCTGCTTCTTTACAGATCTAATAGCATCTCTCATTCATCCTTCCTGTGTCATTCACCCCTCCTGTGTCACCAGCCCATGCAGATCAATGGAAACTTCTGTGGGTTAGTGATGAATCAACCATTGGGTGGCCTACATGTGATTGAGGGGCTACCCCTATTTGCCAACAGCACTGACGTCATGGCTAGTGTAGCTGCTTATACCTACCACCAGCACTATGTGCTTTTCATCGGTACCCACAGTGGTACTCTGAAGAAGGTTGGTCCTAGAACCCTTGTATTATGAGTTTGGGAATGTTTTTTCACACTATGGGAAGAAGAGCTGGGGAACAGAATGTTCACATGAGCCTAGGTTACTCTGAACAGGCTATGATGACTTCCCAGGTTAGGCTCCAAAAGCTGAATCCTGCTCCTTGGGTGGCTTCTCTGCCATCTACCTTCACCAGCATTTTTTTTAGCTGAATCCAAGATAGCCTTTGCCTTGGTCTAAGACTGTGGCTGTTATAGCTACAGGCCTTCTGACTGAGTGAAGGCTCAAAGAGGTCCTATCTGACCAGCTCAGCTGCAATCTAGAAAGTCCCTGCCTGGGTACTGGTAACTATGGTACGGTGAAGCTGGCTTACCATTTCTCTGTCCTGGTTTGTGGCTCAGTTGCAGGTTGATGGCTCTCAGGATGCCCAGCTGAATAAGACCGTCTCTGTGGTAGAGGGCAGTCCCATACTCCGAAACCTGCTCTTAGCCCTGACCACCAGCACATACACCTCCTGAGTGAGAAGCAGGTGGGCCCATGGTGGGTGGTGGTGGATGGTGGGGCAGGGGTGGGCTGTGTGCTGATGTGACTGTTCCCAGGTGAGCCAACTCCCTGTGGAGACCTGTGAGCAGTATCTGAACTGCACTGCATGCCTGGGCTCAGGGAACTCACACTGTGGTTGGTGTGTGCTACAGCACAGGTGAGGGCAGTGGGTGATGGACATGGGGTGGCAGGGAGCTCCCTGGGGCCATTATCTTGGGAGACAGAAGAATTTAGGAGGGCCTTGCCAACTGGACAGAAGCCAGCCACACTTACTATACTTTCTTTCACCCACCTGCTCTGTTTTCCCCAGCTTTGAGCTTTCCCCTCCCTCCCTTCTCCTCCACTTTGTCCAGCTAATGAGCAGAACTTCCACCCTGAGTGACATCCCTTGGATCTCAGGGGATGAGGCCAAGACACACTGTTGCCTGGCAGTAGGAGCTGGGTATGTTGTCCTCTGCCCCCCTCAGCCTCTTACAGCAACCCCATCTGGTCCCTCTTGGGACAGTGCTCAGACTGCTCTGGCCTGTCCCCATGCAGGTGCTGCCGGGAAGGGGCCTGTCCAGGTGCCTCTGCTCCACATGGCTTTGCGAGGAGCTGAACAAACGTGTACAGGTGTGTGCGGGTCCGGCCCAATAATGTGTCGGTGACATCCCCTGGAGTGCAGGTAAGTGATATGGTGGGTACTTGGGCCCATTATGCTTCATGAGGGAGGGGCTTATTCTGCTCTGACCTCTCTGCCTTCCCCAGCTGACCATAGCCATGCACAAAGTGCCAGACATTAGTGCAGGTGTGAGCTGTTCATTTGAGGAGGTGACTAAAAGTGAGGCTATTCTGCTGTCCTCTGGAGAGCTGCGTTGCCCTTCACATCCCTCCAGGTGCTCCAGACACTTACCAGAGGGCAATGTCAGTGGACTGGGGCTGTTTTGGGTGTTGTGGGGTAGGACAGGATCCCAGGCTAGTTGGTGATGGCCACCTGTTTGTTGCAGGGTCCACGCATACTGTGCAGCTGCAGCTGCTCTCCATGGAGACCGGTGTGAGGTTTGCTGGGGTTGACTTTGTCTTCTACAACTGCAGTGCCCTCCAGTCATGAGTACCAGGTCCAGAATCTGTCCCTAGGCCTGGGGATGGATAGGTGCTCTGGGATATATAATTCTTGCAGTGTGGTTGCCTCTAGGACTTTCGGGATGAATTTGTCCCCACATCTGTCCAATCCTGATGTGCACTGTGTGACTTACGCAGGTTCTGCCTATCCTCTTCATTTGTTCCCCGGTGCATTTTGTGGGAGGGTGAGAACAGGGTGGTGTAACCTTCTCTGTTATTTCTGAAGCCACTTCCCTCTCCAGGTTTATGTCCTGTGTTGGCAGTCCTTACCCCTGCCACTTCTGTAAGTACCGCCATATGTGTACCAGCCACCCACAGGAGTGCTCCTTTCAGGAGGGCAGGGTCCACAGCCCTGAGGTGAGGTGGTGCAGTGCGCTGCAAAAGATTGGGCTCCTTGGCTGGCCTCTCACTTCTTTGTTTGTTCTACCATTTCCTTGGGCCTGGAGAAAGGTGGGTAGCTCAGCATGCTCTGACTGCTGTTCTCCCAGGGATGCCCTGAGATCCTGCCTCGAGGAGACCTCTTGATCCCTGTGGGCATCATGCAGCCTCTAACCCTGCAGGCTAAGAATCTTCCACAACCTCAGTCAGGCCAGAAGAATTATGACTGTAGTCTGTGCACAGGGGTGACTGCCTCAGTTACCTGCAGTGCGCTTTACCAGCAGCAGTGTGCAGTGCCAGAATGCTTTGGTGAGGTCCAGGTTGGGTCAGCCAAGGACAATTGTTTTGTTGTTTTTATTGTTGTTGTCAGTGGTGGTGGTTTGTTGGTTTGTTTGTGTTTTTTTTTTTTTTGGTGTCTTCTCAGCTTACTGATCTGGAAGCCTCTGGTTGATCTGGTTGATCCAGGCAGGCACTTTATAGTCTTTTTTTTTTTTTAAATCGGGGATTACTAAATTGGGCAAGGATTTTGCTTACCTTACTTATACTCCTGTGGTTCCATTTTTCTTAGTATTTCTATGAAGGTGATGAGTTTGGTGACACCTACCTGAACTTCTCTGTGGTCTGGGATAGAGATTTCCCCATTGATAAGCCTCGCAGCTTCCAAGGTAAGGCATGACTTCGGTCCAAGGAATGTGCTCCTGGGACAGGGTTGACACTACTGGGGCAAGTCTGGAGGACCTAGAGCCTCCTGCTTCTCTGCCACTGCCTGCCCCATCAGTAGTCCTGTGTGCCTGCAGCCCTTCTATACAAGTGCTGGGCTCAGCGGCCTAGTTGTGGCCTCTGCCTCAAAGCTGATCCCTGCTTCAACTGTGGCTGGTGCATCTCGGTGCACAAGTGCCAACTCCCAAGAGCAAGTGGATGCACCCAATCCAGAAGGGTGCCTGATGCAGCCATCCCCAAGTCACCTACATTAGCTTCACATACTAGTCCTACCTGGCCTGCTGGGCATGTATGAGTCTGGCCTGATCTTCTTGCCTCTTATCCTGTTCCACAGATCCACCCACTCACAGGACCCAAGGAAGGTGGCACCCAGGTCACCATTGTGAGTGAAAACTTGGGCCTCACTTTCCATGAGGTTGGCCTGCAAGTAGCTGGTGTACGTTGTAACTCCATCCCCACCAAATATGTTAGGGCTGAAAGGTGAGTGTGGCCATGTTGAGTACCCTGTCCTTGTGTACCATGGCTGGTCCTGACCTTCTGTGACTCCTAGGATTGTATCTGAGATGGAGGAATCACTGGTGCCCAGCCCACCACATGATCCTGTTGAGCTCTGTGTAGGTGACTGTTTAGCTGACTTTTGCACACAGTCCGAGCAGCTCTACAGCTTTATGGTATATGGCCTGCCAGTCTCTTCCCCTACCCAAGTCCTCTATCTCCTCTATCTGGGGGAATGTGGAGTAGCCATTGAATGGGGCTGGCTTCTACCTCCTCTTAAGGGCTGCTTCTTTCCCAGACCCCAACATTGGACTGTGTGAGTTCTCGGGCCCCAGCTTCTAGGGGCACTTAGCCCACCATCTCTGGAACTTCTCTGGATGCTGGCAGCAGGGTCACAGTGATTGTAAGAGAAGGCGAGTGCCAATTTGTGAGGTGGGCCAGAGCACAAGCAGTCTGGAGTTGAGCATTATGTAGAGGGCTATGGGGACAAGGTAGTCGAAGGTGCCAGACCACCTGCTTCAAGCCTACCTGCTTTCTTATGTAGGAGAAATGCCGAAGCAATCGTGTGTAACTCACCTGTCTCCACCCTGGGCCCGAGTCAGGTGTCTATCACCCTTGCCATCGACCATGCCAACATCTCCAGCCCTGGAGTCATCTATACCTATACCTGGGACCCCACTGTTACACACCTTGAGCCAACCTGGAGCATCATCAAGTGAGACCCTGAGGAGGATTGGATTAAGGACTCAGTTGGGGCTCTTAGTGTCTGTCTTTGGGCCTTACATGTTACGAGGGCTTTGGGGCATCAAATCCTTCCTGAACCCACGACAGTAGGGGACACAGAGTTGTCCTGCCCATATAGAGCCTTGCACCTACTAAATCATCCAAATTTCGAGGCTCTGAGCTCTCAGAAAAACCTTGGTAACTTCAGGGTAGGGTGGAGGAGGGAGCCTGAGACCGTCCCCCATCTCTCTAGTGGAAGTACTGCCATCACTGTGAGTGGAACCCATCTGCTGACCATGCAAGAACTCCATGTACAGGCAAAGTACCATGGTATTGAGACGACTAATGTAAGTAGCAGCTTCCTACTCCACTCCCACCCTTTCTACTTATTCAAGGCTTCATGCACTGAGGTGATTGCCAATGTATCCATAGACATGCCAGGTGATCAATGACACTACAGTGTTATGTAAGGCCCCTGGCATCTTCCTTGGGCACCCTCAGCCTTGGGCCCAAGGTCTGATCATGTGCAGACAACCCACTTCCTCAACTGTTCTTCCTTCACCTACTATCCCCATCCCAGCTTTGAACCATTTGGGCCATCTGGTGTGCTAGATGTCAAACCTGGCTCACATGTTGTATTGAAGGTGCTGGGAATAGGGATAAGGAGTAGAAAGGAGGGCAGGAGCAGAGACCTGGAGAGCTTGACTATGTCTGTGTGGGTTATCTACTGTTAGGGCAAGAACCTGATCGCTGCTGTACCTGGCAGCTGCCGCCTCAACTATACAGTGCTGATTGAAAGACAGCTGTGTGCACTAACAGTTTCAGTACGCAAGTTCTGTGTGATTCCCCTAGCCAGACAGGCCGGCAGCCAGTCATGGTGCTTATAGGCCTGTTACTCCTTAAGTGAGGATAAACTTATCCAGCAGCAGATTGACTACAAGACCCTGGTGAGCGTGGGCCCATATGAATAGGAGAAGGGGTGGAGGAGCCTTGTTCATGATTGATGCTGGGGTTCCTTCACTCTTAGAATCTTCAATCTGTGTGCCTGGAGAGCGAGAACAGTGCTCAGGTCCCTGTGAAGGTTCTCAACTGTGGCATCATTTCCCAGGTCTAAGACAAGATGTTGAATACTATGTACAAGGGTTTCCTTTACTCTCAGTGCCCCAAAGCTGAGGACATGGACTTGGGTAAGGTCCTTCCCCTTTCTCCTAGCCCCCCACTTTCCAAACCTTCCCAGGGGTCTCTCAGACTCTGTACCTGAGCTCTATTCCTTAAGAGAAGTGAGCCTAAGGCTTTGTGGGGTAAATGTCACTAAGAGCTGACTGTGGTCTGCAAAGTGGAGCCAGGGACGCATGGCCCAAGTCATCCTTCAAGATGAGGATGTCACTACAAAGATAGAGTGTGACTGGAAGAGAGTCAGCTCACTGGCCCACTACCAGGTGAGGAACTGGCAGCCTATTCACCCCCCAGGCTTCCAAGGAGCAGTGGCTAGGTCTGCTCCCAGCCCTTATCCTTATACTCATGAGTCCTCCTCATAGGGCCTTGGTTACCACTACATTGAAGAGCCTGGATGAGTGATGGCCCCTTGTCTTCCTGAACTGCTCCTTCTTTGTCTTTGGACCTCCAGGTGACAGATGGTTCCTTAGTAGCCCTGGTCCCGAAACAAGAGTCTGCCTATAACATGGCCAACTCCTTCACCTTCACCAATTCACTCAGTCACTATGGTAGGTATCCTCATCATGGTGACTTCTGCTGGCCTTGTGTCCTTTAGTTAAGGCTGTATAAGTCATCTTTGGAAGCCCCAAGTTCTTGTCTTGACCCAGCTGGAAAGACTATTATTTTGTGCACCCGTTCTATAGAGCCTGGTAGGGCAGAGTGACAAGAACAGATTGGTTCCACAAAGGCTCCTGGGCTCTTGAAGAGGAGTGGAGTAAGAGGGAGGGTAATGGCCAGGGCCTGTTGGGGCCTAAGGGTCCCATCTCTCTTCTGCCTTAGAGAACTTACTCCATGCTGCCAGCAGCCCGGATAACCTTCGTTCCCAAGTATCGATGCTTACACCTGACCAGGAGGCAGGCATCAAGCTGTGGCATCTGGAGAGAACCATCCATGATCATGCTGATCACTGAGAGTGAGACCTTGGCAGCAAGATGGACGCAGAAATATATCTGACAAGGCTGCTGGCCTCCAAGTTGTGGACCCACCTCAGGCTCCCTTGGTATCTACATAGATATCCTCTAGCCCAGTCTTAGCCGTGAGATGAGCTGGTCTTACCAGGTAGGGACCACAATCTCAGGACCTTTGCAATAGGACCTCTAGGCCTGAGGTCAAGAGCAGGTCCATTTTAGGAATTCTGACCCTTCAGTAAAGTTGTTTACTGAGCTTTTCTTCCCCTGTCTGTCAGGTTTGGGGAGCTTCTTGACATAGTGGCCTTACTGCCACTCATAGGACACACTGAAAATGTTTGTGGATGACCTATTTGAAACTGTGTTCAGTATGGCCCATTGGGGCTCAGCTTTACCCTTGGCCATCAAGTACATGTTTGACTTTCTGGATGAACAGGCTGACCAGCGTCAGATCAGTGACCCTGATGTGCGCCACACCTAAAAAAGAAACTGGTACTTATTAGCTCCTGGATATTGCTGGCCCTTTCAAGGATGGGTGGGAGGAAGAGAATAGTGACTTAGCCAAGGCCCAAGGCCCATGGAGGCAGGTTGACTGACAGTTGAATAACCTATCAGGCAAAAGGGATGAGACAGTGGCTTGGCCTGGAACTGAATATGAGTATATCAAAGATGAGTACTGCTGGATTGTTCAGATGGAAAATGCTAGTCTGGCACTGGAATTGACCATTTTCTACAGGGTTCTGCACGGGGGGGTAGAGATATTGATGACTTGGCACAAGTGGACACAGTGAAAGCTTCAGGGGTAGAGATTGAGGACAGAAAGCCTGAGTCGAGCAGAAAGTAAAAGAAAAAGTCATTTACCCTAAATGTGTCCTTCCTGTTACCTCAGGAATAGTTATGAGCTGGCCAGACAGGAAAAAGGTGTAAAGGAAGGCAGTGGGGGAAAGGGGGCCTATACAGCTACTGGGTAGTCTCAAGTGTATATCCTTCTGTTCAGCTTACCTCTGCATTTCTGGGTGAATGTGATCAAGAACCCGCAGTTTGTGTTTGACATCCACAAGAATAGCATCACGGATACCTGATTGTCAGTGGTGACCCAGACCTTCATGGACTCCTGTTCTACATCAGAGCACCATCTGGGCAAGGACGCCCCTTCCAATAAGCTGCTCTATGCCAAGGATATTCCTAATTACAAGAGCTAGGTGGAGAGATGGGCTCTGGGAAACTGCTGTGTGTGCATCGTGGCTGGCTGGAACTGCCTGCCTAAACAGCGTGTCTGAAGCTGGCTAAACAGTGATGACACATGAGTTTTGGCTTTTGTTACATGTGCATGATTGACTCACCCAGGGTTTCTACAGGTACTACCGAGATATCGCAAAGATGGCATCAATCAGTGACCAGAACAATCGTGCCTCCATGCTAATATGTTCAATGTCCTAAGTGCACTCAGTGAGCTCTACTTCTATGTCACCAAGTATCATCAGTAGGTATGTTGATGCAGCTTTCAGATCCCCTGTTGCATGGTTCTGATGATGCAATTAGGGACAAAGGCAGGGAGGTTGATGGAATGAGGAGTGCCAAGGATTTGAGCAAGATGGAACACAGAATCCATCCTGTATCTTGTCTACATTCCATTTCTTGCCTAGGGCCAGCAAGGTTAATAATTTCCCTAGATGCTTGGATTTAAGGAATACAGGAGAGAAACCACTAGCTGGAGTATAGAATTACCACTGGACAAAAGTTAAAAGGCTGGAGAATCAGAAGGGGTAGGCAAAGGTTTATGGGTTGGGACCAGAGGTAGGTGCATCCAGTTATTAGCAGGGCCTGTGGCTTTTGTGGTTGGAGATGCCAGCAGACAGAGGAACACAAAAGGGAATGGAGGCCTGGATTCATGTTCTGAGTAGCTGGATGTTGGTCACAAGCTGGAATCAAGGATGGCTGGCTCTAGCATGAATCTCTAGGGCTGAGATCTGGATGTGGTGATGTTGGGGAGGTTACCATGCCAAGATGCCCCATCACACCTGGGCCCCCTTCATTATTGCCTTGCTTTGGGCCCTGCAGGGGGAGGGGAGGGGGTGATAGGACTATGCAATCTCCTACCAGCAGCAGCAATACCTCCACCCTCTTGCCTTGTGTTCCTATGTCAACAGAGCCCTTGCCCTCCTAGCTTTGTACACTCTACCCACCTATTTATTAACCTATCCCTACCTTAATTTCCCTATGTAAATATACTTGTCCCATGGGATATTGCCAGCCTCACAGACCTGCTTCCTTGGTTGATCTGGGCCTTGCTTCCTGTCCTGCTTCCTTTGTGACATTGCCAGCCTTGACTCAGCCTCTGGCATCTCACCTTTGCTGGAGAGCCTCAGTACCAGCAGCATTTGGGGTTGGATGATACATCGTGAAGCTGCCCTCAGATTGACTAGGCCTGGCCAGCCATTGTCCCTCTACAGATGTTTCAGGAGTCAGACCACACGTTCATGGGGCCTATTGTCTCTGAGAGAACTCTAACCAGGTTGTGCTTGGACGTGATGTGGGCCTGGGCTTCTGGAACATTCCTTGTGT